AGTTCGAAATTATAGCCTCTGAATATGTCGTTACTCCGATAAGGATTAAAGCAAATGTTATTGCGTGAGAATTATGTATCTGATACTCTCTTTGTCAAAATTGCAGGTGTATGGTATACTTTATACATGTAAGAATTATATTTGTTACAACATGGCACGTGCGCGGACATATCAGTATTCAAGTGATTGCCTCGCAAAGTTGTTTACATTTTCTTTAAGCCGGCAAGAGAGTTCGGCGCTGGCAAGGTTTTCGAAAGATACGTGACTCGTTTTCTTTCGTTACGATATATATAACGGTGAGCATTATCTATTCAAAACCTGGTCACGATGCGAAAAGGAATATATCGATAATTCCGCGATGTCGATCGTTTATTGTTCCTTGATTAATTACACGCTGAAATAATATTATTACGTTGGATTTAAAGCAAACAATTAATTATAGAGTCGTGTACTCGTATTGTCATGGCGTTTTAATTATTGTATCGAGTCATACGGTATCATATGCAAATTAATTGCCAGAATAATAAGCTCTCTTGAATTTTCTCTACCAAACGAATAATTATTCATAGAAGCTCTCGTGCTCGCTATTATAAATAAAGTTAATTAATAGACAAGTTTTTTAAATGCGACTGATACAATCTAAACCCTTTTCGTTAATTACCTGTAATATAAATTCATTTCCTAATAAAATAAAATAATTGCTACATGCATTATAAAAAAAAGTAAAATCATTCTGTTATCCGTTCTCTAATTAAAATTATTCTATAATAAACTCACTGCTATTGAACAGACGGCCATAATTACTACGAAGATGAAAGTAACAAAAGTCACCGCTCCGCAATAAGCACTTAAGTTGAAGAATCGTCTTAAATTATATTCAGCGACGAGAAATCGGTATATCTGAAACAATGCACGGTTCGAGTAAAAAATTAAAGTTCTCAACGGAATTGGGCTAACCTAATCGATCCGCATTTCTGACCAGCGAATTCAAACCGTATCCGGACGTTCGATAGTACTTGTACAATCTAGTGTCGTCCATGATGGGGAGGGCGATAACTACCGAATAATTTGTCGAGATCGCGCCACGATACCGCGTTGATACTCGGAGAGGGATCGCGGGGACGACCAGTTTACCGTTTAAACGAATGTTTGACAGAAGATGGTGGTACGCATCGCGATCGATTAACAAACGAATTGCTGTGACATTGGTCGAACAACAGACAGTTCTTTTATGAAAGGTGAAAAAGGTATTAAGTGTACGTCTTTCTAAAAAAATAATTGTACACACCTACGTATATTTAAAAATAATAAAATCCAAATAGCAGTAATGTTCCTTAAAAAATAATGATATTATAGAACTGTCAATTTGACATCAGATTATTCAACAATTTGAAAAAAATGGAGGTAGAATTTATATTCATATTTAAATGTACTCAATAAATTACACTAAGTGACAATATTTTCCTTTTTTTTAAAAAAGATGACCAAAAGATTTCGACCCTCTGTATATTTTATACGTCATCCTTTGATAAAACTATTGAACATCGTTTAACAGCTTGACGCACCTCGCGATGTTATAATTAATTTTCATACTCTTTCACCTCTGGATAATTTCGCTCGATTTTCTTGCATTCTCCCTACTTCTTCAATATTTACACGAAAGCTACCTCCTCGCATTTTAAAGTTCGAGCATAGTTCGTGTCAGTCACGTTCGTTACGTGTCATTAGGATCCTCGTGAAAGGTTTGTTTAGTTTTGCGTGCGCCACCAATATTCTTCCCGCGCCGAAGTTTCCTGGCATAATTTATAACCCACGACATTTGCCTATGTGTATACGTAACACGGAATGCGTTATTGAGTCATAAAAGCATGGTGTTAGATGGAGAAGCATTATCCATTCAGCTTTTTACTTTAATTGTGTCAAAGTTAAATTTATGCGAAGATATTTAATAATATAAAATATTATAGATAAATCACGCCTGTATCCAAAATATTAATATATAACGAAATACCTATAATATATTTTAAATATATGCAAAAGTTATCTATAATATAATTAAACATAAAACATTAAAGTAGCAGGATAAAATTAAATCGTTGCGATATTGTCTTAATGAACATGTTAAATGAATCAAAAGATTTTTTTTTAATCGCAATAAAATTTACAGTTAAAACGTTTTAATATTATTATATATAAAATTGATTACCTATATCTACATATATATGGTATAAGTAACATAAATAACGCGAGATTAATTTTTATTAACCCTTATGAATTTCGCCAATCTCATTTGAGGTCACTTTTCTTTATTTTATAAACTGCTCGTTCGATTTTTATGAAACTTGGCTTATTTGGACTAATTTAATGTTTTATTCAAATTAAGATAAAAAAAAATTAATAATAGTAGATTTAATATAGCCAACACAATTTAAAAAAAATAATTTGACGATATTGTTAAGGAGTTTTTAACTGCGAAGTAATACTAAATTTTTAGTTTCATTTTATCTGAAGTTCATCAGTGCTATGTAAATGTTTAACTGATTTTCAAACTCTAATTATAAATATAAAGTTTATAACAGTCTAACTTGGATCTTAGTTGCTTATATATAATTTTGCGTGAATTTATATACTAATATGTGTAGTCTTTCTAAACTTATAGGCTTTATATTCGTATTAGTTATGTTGTTACATTAAACGGTCTTTAATTGAATATTGTCTAATTATGAACTCTTTGACACTAGATCCTTTTTCACAGAGGTGAATATATGTTTTTAAAATTCGATATTTTCAAGCTACATTCAAACTTAGAAAAATACCAAAAATTTTTTAAAATAAAGTTTCACGATGCAATCAGATTATTTTGAAATTTAAATTAAAAAATTCTGAGGTCAGAATCGAAAATGCAGCAACCATTAGAAAACAAGATCTTGTATCAGTTAACATTGTTAGAAAGTTCCAATTCTCAAAAGATTAATATAAATAATAAAAGACTAAGGTATCTATAAATATTGCTTCAGGTTGACATCAAATGCAGCAATATAAAAATAATATTATTTATTTTAACGAAGTTTTTGTCATAACGCGTTTTGGACTAGATATGTCCATCAGTTGTCACTGTTATTATTGTAGTAAATAAAAAAATTGCGATTCTCTATAAAGTATATTTATATGAGAAGAAAATATTCAACATATTTAATAATACAAAAATAAATATATTCTAAAAACTAATACAAGTTTATGTTACTTTACACTATTTAATCATATTTTATGTTTTACTTTGTTTACGCTAAATAAAAAGTTTTAACTTGCATAACACATCGCTATTTTCAGTCGGAATTTCACGTTCTTCTCCTATAGAGTTCTCCTAACTACGACGGATGTCAAGGAGGAAGAAAAAGTGATATGAAGAGAAGAATGAAAAGTACCTGAAAAAATATGTAATTAAAATCCAACGTGAATGAGATGCATTTCGAGCATGGACGAAGAAATCAGAGAGAGGAGACGAGAAAATTATCCAAGACAGAGGATGGCAGATAGAGAAAGACAAGTGTGCAAAAAAAGATTACGATTACATAGAGAGAGAGAGAGAGAGAGAAAGCGAACGAAAGAGGTTGCAAAAAAATATGCGACAAGCACACGTCGTGCGCTTGCCGAAAAAAGACGAGCTCCGTCAGAGCAAACGATGACAAACTGAAAAAACTAGAAGACATTTTCATGAAGTTTATAAAAATAAAGAGTGTGTGTAGAACAAAATATTCCCCAATTTGAACTCCGTTGAAACTATGTAATATTAACTTACTATCCAATATTAAAAGATATTGCTATATTTAAATTCTAAACCAAACAAAATTTCCGGGAAATTAAATAAATTTTTAATTAGCTATGGCAAATTTATTTTAAAACTTATAAAATATAATGACGAATATACACACACACACACATTTAGAATATTCTGTATATAAAATATGTATATGACTGTATTTGTAAATATAATTCTATTGTATTAATAGCGTGCACAAAAGCATTTAAAATCAATTGATGAAAGAATATTAATATTCTTCAATTTATCGGAATATGATAACAACTGATAAATAATGATTAAGACTTCATCAGAGACAATTTGTATTTTCTTTCAATTTTAACAACATACTAAAAAACAAATCCTTAAAGTGAAAAATTTAAAAAAGTCGTGTTTTTATAAAATGTCTTTTTTAAAAGAGTATTGTCGAAAGTGCTATGAAAATTTATATAAAATTTTTTACAAGCTTATAAATACATTATTTGTAACACTTTATAAATATTATTATTTACATAACGCGTTTGTTGTTTTCAAAAACGAAGATGATTCCTTACTGAAAAAGTATCCGGCGAGAATTCTGTTGAACGAACTAGAGACACGTGCGACCACTTGGGATTTATCCCTGATAGACGTGATTCGACTTGCCCTGTGTGAATCCTGATTCTATCGTAAGTACATATACACGCGCCTGATCCCGAAGCCTATGACGTCTTCACCGGATTGTTCGATCCCCTGATTAAGAAGTATTACGTTATTTTAGGACTGACGATGTTCATTCCGACTTGGATGGAGAAAAGTGAGAAAAACTGAGTAATCTTAGATTAATCAAAGAAAAGCACGTAGTCTTTGATGTGGATTCGTTGCGTAAGGCCGATCAAGGGTTATCCATTCAATTCTGACATGAGATTCATCATATCAAGTTAAAATGGAAGACAGTAAATTTATGAACGCGGTTTCAACGGATTCTTATAACTTTGATTAAGATAATTTCTCAAATTATTATATATATATATATATGTGAGTTAATAATAATATCACCTTCTAAAATTCTGTAATTTCTAAAAGAGAACGTTTAACACAGAAATATGAGAAGTCTTATCGTTTCATTAAAAACTCATATAATATAATCTTAAATAAATCTATATAATGTAACTTTAAATAAAATTCTTGTTCGACTATGTTCTGTCTATTGAACTATAAAGCTGAACAAAGTAAGGATCGTCGCGCTTCTGAAGCACTAAATCCACCATTGGTAGAAACTGCGCGCGCGTGATTTATCCCAAGAAAATGATTTCTACAATTAGTTTTATATCGCTTAGTGGCGTGGCGAAGGGGAATTAAAGCTACCGTAAGAGTGAAGCTACAAGATAGCTTTTATAACACGATTATCCTGTGGCTCCAGGTACAGGAAGCTTTAATCTCGTTAAAGGACGAGCTCAAAGGGACCTATTACACGCTCGAAGCATTAGACAAACAGATCCGGCAACAATTACTGAATGATCATTTCCCGCTCAAGGAAGGCGACAGATTTCTAAAAACGACGAACACTATTAGATTTTGATCAATCGGTAAGTTCCCTAATGTAATAATGTAACCCAATTCAATAGCGTTATATTCTCTTACTTGCTTATGTTTGAAATTAATTTCAATGTACACATGATTCAACTTTGCAGCTAAATTAGATTACACAGATAAACTGAAATTATCTAACGCCCTTCATCTTATTTATATAGTAGAAATCGGATGGCATCTCGAATGTATTCCATTTACGTTGACTGCGCGCTGAGAGCTAACTTCGACGACTAATATTATACGGGGTCAAACTTCGATCCGACCGTAGTTGCTTTCGTTAAAACATTCAATTACAATGTCTTAAGTTCCTTCTCAGCCTACTCGAAAACATTAATCCCCCGGTAAGCCATACACCCCAAATCGAGGATTTATGTTGAAACGAAGATTAAACCAAAACTTTGCCAAGATTAAAGCAAGTTCTCTAAGGGAATAAGCAAAACGATTACGCGCGCGTATATCAGCGAACGTTCCTACCGCAACGTGCATTTTTAAGCAGTTTCGTAATCAAGAATAACACTTATACTCACGTCTTATTACACCGTACTTTAATCATTTAAGTTATAAATCCCCCACGATGTCTGTGTAAACAATATGTACTTTACGATGTAATGTCTTACGTATGTGTGGTATAAGGACGGCTAACAGCTGATTAAATAAATTTGCATTAATGATTTTCGTCACGATGAGGTCTCGAAGATCCTTTCGCCTCTAGGATTAGAGAGTTAAAAGGGTTAGAAGGTATTACGAAGCTTAGTGTTACGGAGCTTAGAAGAGGGTGTGGCGTGCAGTGCTTGAGAGTTTTCTGAGAGAACCGAATGTTTCGTTGAATTCTTTTTTTTGTTTTGTTTTTATGGGCCATTCTAAATTACGCGAAATGTAGGAGATGTGTTCTGAATCATTAATTCGTTATTATAAAGGCTTCTTTCCAGTCGAGTCTTATTTATGTGTTTATTTAACAATTCCAATTTTAAAAATGTATATATATATATATATATACATAATAGGATAATCCAAGTTACGTTTAAAAGGATTTAAGTGAAAGATAAAATTATCACGTCAATTAAAAGGAAACGTTTCATTTTTTTATTGCCTGTCGAACAAAGGGATTTGACGCGCTCTTTCCCACGTTTACGCAGGACGCATCTGCAGTTATGCTTAATTAACAGCATCATAACTCTGTTGGGTTTTCCTCTTGTTCCCCTCATTTGACATTGTCGCTAATATTAATTAAATGTACAATGTACAGAAATATTATTCGCCATAGGACAAATTTAATTGCGTGCTTTGTTTCATTTATCTATTACACATCTCGCTGCATTTCTTTTTCTCCATTTGTTGCGTGCACTCGACGGAGATTACCGCGTTGCCTGCTTGTTACTCACGGATAATCAGAATCGTAGCCCAATCTTTTTTTCCTTTTAATTAAGAGATACGCTCGACCGTTCGATCGAATCAATACGGACTAGCCTTTGAATACACTAATAGATTAAAGTGCATGGCGCTCTCAGTTTATGCTTATTTAAATATTGCTTTTCATATCGTATACTTTACATGAAATATAACTTATCGTTAATTTAATTTAAAAAGCGCTTATTCCAAACTAATTTACTTCCATTCAATTTCGATATTCGCTGATTTTACATTCGTTATTGAATTTAGTAGTATTTACAATTTATTAGTTGGACAAAACAAACAAATTAATGATCTAAGTGAGATTTTCGTAAAATATAAATAACATTAAAGCGAATAAAACAGGTTTATTTTTTTTAACATATGTTTGCGCGATATTTTTATTGTACATAAAGTTCATGTCACGTTATGAGCACCACATGTGATTATAAACTCACAAAAAAATCATTCAAATTAAAATGCAAGTGAGCGAGGCAACTTTCTAACTTTCTGAACACGCGTTTACAATATAATGTCCCTTGACTCAAAATACGAAGATCTCGGTTAAAAGTTAAACGGAATTGCCTCCTTGCGACCTATCCATTATCTCTTCCGTATTACAAAGAATTCAGTATAATATTTATAAGTACATACATACACACACGCACATACATACATACACAACAAAACTATCTACAAATATACTTAAGACAAGAGAATATAATAGAAGACCTTTTGCGATTAAAGAAGAACACGGCTTTTCCCGGTTGAAAGTTCAAGGGATATAAAACTACCACGCTTGTTTGTATCGCACTGTTCTCTCCTTCAGGTACAAGGATATTTTTTAACGAGGAGAAAACTTTCCTTGTCTGGTGCAACTTGGAGGATCACATGCGTCTGATATCGATGGAACGAGATGGTAACCTCGCGGCGGTGTACGAGAGACTCGTTAAAGTGGTCCAAGAAATCGAGAAGAAATTGGAATTCCTGCAGCGCTGAGGACTCGGCTTCCTTATATTCTGCCCTACGAATCTTGGCACAGCCATATGGGCCTTCGTACACGTTCTCCTGCCAAAATTGAGCGCGGATTTTACCAACGATTCGAAAAGATCGGCAGTACACGGTCTTCAGGTGAGAACGACGATATTATATGGATAGAATTCAATCATCAGACGAATGAATATTATGGTTATTCAATGAATATAAAGAAACGGTTACACGGCATAAAATCTAATCTATTTGAAAATTATATATTTTAAATATTGTTTTTTTAATGATATTTGTTTATAAAATTTTATTCAAAAGATATATACAATATATATACTTTAAATTTTATAATTTCCAAGATCTTAATTTCTAATTGTATACTTATATTAATTAATAAGAACGCTATCTAAAACAGCTTTGATTTTTTATAACATAACGATCTAAAAAAGGTTCGTATTTATAGATTATTTATCAATATTCGGTAATCAATTGAATTAATGATTCTCTTTTATATGGATTTGCAAATAGCTTACAAATAATCTTTTATTTTTTTATAAAAATTTAATTACCTACTTTTTTAAAATGACTTTATTTTTAAACAAGATTTAGTTTAAATTATTTTGAATTTGCATAATATAAGTTGTATTTAACCGTATTTCAGCATTTGATTATTGTTATAGAATTTTTCTTCATTGATAAAAGTTTTGTTAAAATGTAATGTCCGGATTAGAATAAATATAGAACAACAAGAGTTATGTAGAAAGATATAAAATGTAATGGATATAAATGTTTAGAAAATAAATTTCTATACATGTATATGTATATATAATCCATAAATATATATTAAGAATATTAAATTTAGAAAGAAATATACATATAAAAATTTCATAAATATACATAAACATTGCATAAATATAAACATTTCATAAATATTAAATATACACATACAAATTTTATAGACTACAGTAATAATAATAATGTAGAATATAACAATAAAAAAAATATTAAATTATAATATAAATAGGAGATACCTCTAGAAAATCAATTTTGCATACCCTTTTGAATTAAATTTGTGAACCAAATACATAGGAAATTATTTTGTCACAGTAAATAAACTTCACCACGCGATGAATAAAATATCAAAAATAATAATCTTTACAATTCATGATTGTTTTATTCCTTCTATTGGGAAAATCAATGCGATTATTGCAAATAATTATTACACATGCAACATAACCTGTTTTTAGTTACAGTTTGCACTCTGTTGTTTTATAAATTTATATACGCGACTAGTATTGCAAGAAAAATAATTTTGATATTTTTAGAGAATTATAAAATTTATATTTAAATTATTGTATAAAAATATTTATTTAATTATATCCATATAAATACATGTATGCACGTTATAAATTTCATATTCTATTTTTTTATTTTTATTATTGTAACAAAATTTCCAAAAAATAAATTATTTTTTAAAACAATAAAGAAATTCTGCTAATAGTTCTTTAATCATTTAATGATATAAGAAACAGTATAAGAGTTAATATATGTCTTTCAACATATGATTAAGATCTAATAAGATGCTATAAGCATCGAAATTTGTTAGATTGATTGTCAATCTAACTAAAGTAATATTACCGCGGTAGTTATTTAGAGTTGCGTTGTAAGTCTGAAAAAATGTTCGGTACGCGATTGAGAGAACTATGTACATACGCGATATATAAATTCACACATATAAATTCATATATAAATTCACACATAATGATAATAAGCATCTTGATCTAGCTTTGACCGTGATAGGCTTTGCTTTGTGCTTCCTTCTTTCTTGTTATTGTTTAACAATTGTACGGTCGTAAAAATGAGATTCTATTATTTGTTAAAATATACGTCGCCTGAAAATGACGTTATTATTACTACTCTAGACAGATATTGCGAAGAATATTATTACGTCGACTCGCCATCAGAGGTCTATTCAATTGATATTCGTTAAATTTCTCGCAAGTGCTGAGATACACATATATCTCTTTATATAGAGTCTCGATTTAATAACTTACACCGGCGCGTCTAAGGTAGACTCCCACTACATTACCTTACTGATGAGTCCAGTAGTGGAAGCCGGGACGAAACGCCAACTTGTGATATTCTTCGCAATCTTATTTTCACAGATTTCAATTATCATTACTTTAATATTAAATTTTAATATATGTCTTTCAACATATTATTAAGATCTAATAAGATGCTATAAGCATCGAAATTTATTAGATTGATTGTCAATCTAACTAAAGTGATATTACCGCGGTAGTTATTTAGAGTTGCGTTGTAAGTCTGAAAAAATGTTCGGCACGCGATTGAGAGAACTACATACATACGCGATATATAAATTCACACATAATGATAATAAGCATCTTGATCTAGCTTTGACCGTGATAGGCTTTGCTTTGTGCTTCCTTCTTTCTTGTTATAGTATAAGAGTTAGTTATATAATTAGTACCTATCAGTCACTTTAACCATTGATATCTCTTTCGACTATACACAATCAAAATTTTCTCTTATGTTTAAGAAATAATTATATGAAATATTACGTTATAGATTGCTATTTTTACGTCCTCAGAATGTAGGTTAGAAGAATCGATAAAACATTAATTAAATTAATTTCTTGAAGGAATGTGATTAATTATGCAATTACTATACTAACTGTTTAAACTGTTTATTACTAAACTTAATAATTAAATTATTTTATTTTAAATAATTATTTTATTTTAAATAACTGACATTAATTTGTTAATTGATAATAAATTGACTTATGCGAAATCATAAAAACAATAATATACGTATAAACTGTAACAAAAGTGCGTAAAAATATAACTAAAATGACTAGTTAATATAAAATTTATAATTGAAATTCAGCATTCATCCTTTTCCAACATCCCTCGACGTCTGCCGATGTATCTTGTGCTGCAACAGTATCCGAGAGCGGTTCGCGACTCTTTCTGCCGTCCTTCGCTGATTGCACTTTACATAACTATTCGCGACACGAAAATCGCAAAATTGTAGTTTCAACTAATTTTATAGTTCACTTATTTTCGCAAATATAATAATTAGCGAATATTTATCATAAAACGTAATGTGTATAAATCTGATTATAAAGTTTATAACTCTATTGAACTTTATTTTCTAGATCATTTCACTTTAAATTATGTACAATTTGTTTGCGATATGAAATTCACAATATTTAGTTTACAAATTCACTTACGGAATATTTATATTGTGACATTGCATTACGAATTTTTTAAAAGATAATATAACGATATGATTAAATTTGAAACATATTTTGCTAAAAATAAAACTATTTTTAGCAAATATAAAAATAGAACTAAAAATAAAAAATACGATATATATTTATTACTTCGCAACATTCCTGCGTAGATAATCTTTCTTTGTAATATTTTTATGAATATTATTTTCACAATATTCTTGCAAAGGTGGCATTGCCTCGCTATACTTATGCGAAGTAACAAAATTTAATTTCGTAAATCTTGTGCGAATATTGTTTGATAGTAATTATAACGAAATAAAAGATCGCAATCCACTATTCAACAATAACGATACTTAGAAATTGTTAAATAATTTGTAATCGCAAAATATTTAAGAAACAAAGTGTTGTGAAATTTCTATGATAAAATTCTTTTCGCGAAGTTAATTCTATGAAATTTGTATAAACTACTTCACGAGTTCTAATTGCAAATATATGAATAATAAATAAAAATAAAAAATAAAAAAAATAAACAATACGATACGAAATTATTAATTATTAATAAATCATGAATATTAATAATTAGTTAAAAGCATAATCAGAAGGAGGATTGAAATATTATAAACTTAATTTTGTGAAATTTCTATTCCTACTATTTGTGATAAGTGATTTGTGATATTAATAATAAAAATGTAAAACAGGAGGGAAAATGTGAATTGCAAATTTTATAATTACAGTTTCCTAATATTTGCGAATTTTATTATTTTTTCACACTTGGAACAAACACAGATTAAATATAAAAAGTAAATAAAAAATTGAAAAATTAAAAATTGTAAAATACAAAATTATTTTAAAGCTTATAAAATTCAATCAACAATTATAATAATATGTCACAGGTTATGTTGAATACAATTCAAAATATATAAAAATCAGAGCTGTTATAACCTATATAGAATGGGCCAAAAGTCTGGATACACCCAAATATCTCATACATTTTAGAAAAAAATGTTTCAGACAAAAGTTGTAAAGCTTAAAAAAACGCATTTAATGGTAATTAATTAGAATTTATAAACTAAAATTTATAATCTATAAATTAAAATTTATAAACTCATAACTCAGAAAGTTCTCATCGGAAAAGAGTTTATGATATGTGTTTTGAAAACGTCTCAACATAACCTATAAGAATCTGAAATAAAAAGTAGGGGGTTCCATTTAAAAAAATTAAGTTGACCTTGATGTGACCTTGACAACAGCATTCTAAGTCAAATAACTACCATTAAATGCGTCTTTTTTAGCTTTACAACTTTTGTCTGAAACATTTTTTTCTAAAATGTATCGTTTATGAGATATTTGGATGTATCCAGACTTTTGGCCCACCCTGTATATAGCTAATTGATGTTTGCTAATATATAATCTATTATACAAATTACATAAAAATATTTCAATATAACTGTTTCGGCAATCAATGTGGTCCTTTTCAATAAACAACTATTAATTATAATCTACGTATGTCATCCTAATTAATATTTGTTCATTAAAAAGGATCACATTAATGGTTGAAACATTTGTATTAAAATATTTTTATATAATTTGCATAATAAATTACATATTAGCAAAAATCAACTAGCTAAGCTATAATATCTCTGATTTTTATGTAATTATTCAATTGTTAATATTAATGGCAAAAAAAGGTCCATGCTAAAAATTGATCCGTATAGATCGGATATATGAGGACATCAACAATGTATAATGACGGATATTAATAATATTAATAATATCGATGATATTAATAATATTGATGAAGCTTCAATGCTAAAGTTGAGCCATCTATTTTAGAAAAAAAAGACAATTTTAAAAAAAGAAAATATATACGCGCAACGCACACACACATACATACATACAAATCAATCGAACTTTTTATTATATTGCATCAAATATTTATTTAATTGTATAATGTCTGTTATAAACCAAATCGATAAATGTTACACTATAAAATAATTCTATAAGCATTGCTATATTGCGGATATGTATCTTCAAAAACCGAGAGAAAACATTATATCCTTTCTTTGTTTGATACCTTTTATTTAAAAAATTACATGCGCACGTAAATATCTAACGTAAAATGTGAATCGTACTGATTTCAGAAATAGCAATTTCTGTGGGAAAAGACCATCACCAGCTTACTTTAAGTTTCACTCACCAATATTGCATATTCAGAATCGATCACATCTCGCATCCGATATCGCCTATATTAAAGTATTCTGTACAATAATTAAGATATAATTTTTATATATAAAATATTATTTTAATAAAATACAATTATTATAAGACTAGAGAAATATTTATTATCTTATTGTAATACATTTAAAGATATATATAAAGATATATTTGAAATGTATATTAAAAATATATTTCTATGAAAAAAAAAGTAACTAATAATTCTAGAGTTCATGTACATTTACAACTTTAGCTTTAATATTTAAAATATTAGGATATCTATATTTTTTCCATTTATCTAACATTCTTTTGCTCGCATTATTACCTCTTTAAACAGAGGATAATTTACACCAAACATTGTAAATTAATTTTTTAGTTAAAACTTTAATTAACGTTAATAAGCTTAATAATTTTTACCAAGATTGTATATATACATATATGTTACGGGCAAAGTTCGCATAATGCAGTGTTGACGTTGCTCGAATTTTCTACTGTATACAATGTCAGCATTGCCCAACTTTTTGAATATATAAGCCTAGATTGTCAGTGGGCTGCATATCCTATAGCAAAGGGTGAGAAATATTGTCAAGCGTAATGGTTTTTGGTTAACCACAATCCGCGCGAAAATTCAAATCAGCTATCTTAATCAAATTATATCTTCAAATTTTTTTTAAATAAAATTTTTTCATATTAATTTAATTGTAAAGAGAACGTATATATTATACATTAAAAAGTATATATTATACATTAAAATTTACTAAATTTCGAATGTAAAATGTTAAAAATAAATATAAAATCTGTACCTTTGCTAGTCAATCCTGCTTAGCCCAAACCAAATCCTCCGGTATCGCTGTTGACAAATCTGCAAAAAGTACACATCTGTATTTATATATGAAACAATAAATAATTAAATTAATTAAAAATAATTTAGTAAGATACTTGTTAGGATTAAATATTAAAGCGAAATTGTTAATATCTTTATTATTTTATTCCTATATTTTATTAAAGAATAATATAATAATAAAAATTTTGTAATATATTTACTTAATTACAATATTTTTCTATTTTCTGCGAAATAGTATATAGAAAATTTAAAAAAAAAATTATATTTTTCACAATAAAGGATTTATAATATCACACACCAACACCTTGTGCAGACTCGAATGGCTTTACACTTCATATTTCAGATTTAATCATAACGAGTCGTTATAACATTTTATTTATATTTAAAAAAAAAAACTATTTTGTGACTGTTGGCATTTTTTACTATTTTTGACTATTTTTTCAGTGCTGAATTTAAAATAAGTCATTGCTATATACACATGTTAAATTTTTGCAAAATTTATTCAAAAATTATATATCCATTGGTTAACGTAACTCATTACATATAATATATATACAATTTCTATTTTCTTGTCAGAAATGTAACAAACTATATCGATTAAAAGATTTATTCCAAAATGTCAATTAAACATTATATTACATGTCGTAATATATATGGTACATACGTATCATTACGAGATGTTATAACAGATCGTAACTGAATTGTAATTTAATCGTAATATCTATATCATCTCTAATGTGTAACGCATCATTGTAACAAGATACGATAAAGAGGTAGAATTTACAATTTATATGTAGTTACGGAGTCGCGTTAGCTTGATATTTCAGTGTACAACATGTAATAACGTTACATGTTATCGCGTATACATGTACCTATAAGTATTGTTCGCATATTACTGTTGTATATTATGCGCTATGTTAGCTCGTTTGGAGATTGCGGCGTCTAACATACATATGTATATACGTTGCATTCGACCTTTGTGCAACTTTGACTGAACGCACGTGTTTGCGACATACCTTAAGGGGATCCTAAAGATGATTAGTCATATTGGAAATAGCACTTACACATAGACGATCACGTGTTTGACACATCACTACATCAATATCTCACTCACTCCACACATGCACATACATTTTCGTATAACAATTACGTTTTAATCAGACATCTCAGTCCAATTTTAAGAACTCCACACTGTTTCTTCATACATACTAGTATGTGGACTACTATTTCGTAAGTATAGATCGCACAACTTTTTATATGAAGCAAATATTGTCACGATGTGCAACGACGTGACAGCGCCATATTGGAATAATTATAAGAAATGATAAAGTATAACTTAATTTCAAAATTTTTTGTCATTTTCAGCATAGACTCTACTTTACAGAACGTATACTTTAATCCTAGAAAAGGATTTTTAAATCAGTAAAAGAGGAAAAAAGTAATTGTTATACACAAATTATATTATTAAAAAATTATATGATTTAGGTCCGATTGCACCAACGTGATTTCAATTTTAAGTGAGACTTAAACTGTCTCTATCTCTGTCTTCCTTTCGACTTTAAAATAAGATAGAGTTTTAAATCTCGCTTAAAATCAAAATAACGTTGGTACAACCAGATCTTAGTCAGCAATACAGACGACTTTAGGATTCCCCTTAAAGGCGGAACACATTTTGTCCGTTCATCTGAATGGATACTTTCCATTTGGTAATACAAGTTGCTAGAAATATTGTTCTATCTTTGTTACTCACTGTCAAGAAAGACAGAATGATGATTGTATCAATTTATATCATCAAATGGAAAGCACTCAGTGTATCGGCATGAATAGATGCCGTTACGGCAGACAATGAGTCTAAATTCACCGCAACCCCCACCTCTTTTCACGCAATGCTGCCCACCAAGGATAGATATTGGATACCGTACGCACAATTAAATTACAATTAATTTATACATATCAAATATATCGATTGATTACACTGCAGATATTATAACCAAATGTAAATTGATCCTGAACAATATAAATTTAATTTAATCTGTTACTATGACTTTATTGTTTCGCACTTCGATACTTTATTGTTATTTTAGTTTTATCTTAATCCATGTTTTCTGCCGTTTAAATGTTTTATGTACAATATAATGTGCACTAAAGGGAACTGAGAATAATAGAGTAAATGTGTATGTATTGTTGTCATCGACATCCGCATTGGCTCATATTGATTTATCTTTCCTTCATTTTATTTTAATACTTATAAATTTTATAATGTTTTTTTTATTAAGATATGCTTTTTATTATGATATATTTTTTTATTAACACTATTACACGACAAATTTATTTAAAAAATTCATTATTACGCGTAAGTAAATAAATATATATTTTGTTAATTGTTTAATTTTTTAAAATAAGAGAAGAAAAATGTTTATTACTTTGTTGAACAATATTTATAAAAAAATGTGTATACATATATAAAATATATAAAATAATTTATATAAATAATTTATTAAAATAATTTATAAAATATCATTATTTGTTACTAACTTATTACATTTTATATAATACATATATGATATTATATATCAAATTATTAAAATATTAATTAAAAAACTATTTTTTTAAGTACATCTTAATACTGATTTATTACAAAACAATAAAATGTATTTATTAAATTATTTTATTTCATTCTATAACGTATAATATTATAGCATTAATTTTAAGGAATCACGCATAACACGTGATCGTGTTCAGCAGACTCAACTGTTGCTGAGCGGATCCGTGAGTGCTTGCTGCTATTGTAGTGTATTCTTCTAGATCATTCACAACAGCAGCAAACGCTCACGGATCCATCAATCCGCAATAAATCAATAATTGAGTTAACAATTGAACGCGATCATTATGACGTATCTCAACGACTAAACACACTATCCATTCAAATTATTTAACTTAATATTTATGTATTAGTTTTCTCGCGTAATGTGGAAATATTCGTAAGAAACACTCACATTACATAAAACGTCTAAATAAGTTGCACTCGCGTGTTGCGACTTATCTGAATGATTGAATGCTGAGAATATTGAAATAACGTCGACCGATATGACTGTTTATATTATAAATGAAAGTCCACTATATGGCTTTAAGTTAAAATTAATATTGTATTTTTTTAAATGTAATCGTTTCATAACAATGAGATGTCTGTCTCCACCAAAAGTTACGATCAATCGATCGATTTCTTTTTACGTATTTGTCTCCTTTTAAATAAAATAATTGAGATACGTTTTTTTTTTAATAGTAGAAAGATACGTTTTATTTTTATGTTTTTTTATACATGTACCTTTTCTACATTTTGTTGCACGTATTACTGATTTGTACACAAATGTACTTGAAAACGGTCCATCATTACGTTTTTTTTAATGCATTTATCACGTACAAAGCTTTTTCATGCTCACCTATAGAAGACCTCGCGATACCATTCGCCGTTTCGCTGACATCGAATCCAATCACTCTTCTTGATGGACTTAGGATCCGAATATTTCAAAAAGCCAAGTTGGCACACTTCTCCCCTCACGTATTCCCTTCTTTTCTCTTCGCTTTCATCTTTTTGCTCGTCTGCGTCACATTCACTTGTACTACTCCGATCATCGCTATCAGTAGTAATAGTCTTCTTCCTTTCACTCCGGCTGACGTTGAAATTCCTTTCCGCTGTTCGAACTCCTTTATCTCTCGTCGCGCTGGCTCCTTGATATTTTTCCTCTTTACTCCGGAGGTATTTTCGGAAGAAATCAGAAGTAATGCTTCACGTTGTAGCCTGTTTTTATCGGGCACCTTTTCCATCTTCGCGGAGACTCAAGGTAACTCGCAGAATAATGCGGAAAGCGTATAGTCTTGGCTTCTGCGGCGCGGGAGGAAGCCTCAGTAAAAATTCATCAGTTCGAACAATGTTTGTGTCAAAGGGATAAATTCTACGGAACAGAAAGGTCTCTCTCTTACTCTCAACATTAATCGAAACTGTTCCGTGAATCAAACGATATTGAATACTTCGCTGAATCTCGCTCTTTTGCGACTGACGCTATCACGAGTTTCTTCGTAATAACATTTTTAGAAAAAAAAAAACGTTGCCAGGATCCATCGATTTATACGCAAATTGTATAATACTG